TAAGACTAGCTATACCCAGTTAATTTAGATTTTAATATAAAAAATTTTAATAATATAATAGTTTCCCAGATATACGAAATTTTGTATTTAATTCATCCAAGGGTGAATCCAAGGTCCCATTGAAAGTCCGCCCATTTTTCTCTAAATGTTCGCATGAATGTCAAAGTTTTTCATGAAAAATTTGAATTTTTTAGCTCTAATGGTTTCTCAGATATACGAATTTTTGTATTTAATTCATATGGGAGGTTCCAATCCCCCTAATAAAAGTCCGCCCATTTCCTCAAAATGTTCAAAATTTTAGGTCTAATTGTTTCCCAGACAAACGACAACGCAAAATTTGAGGATTTTAGCTCTAATAGTATTCTATGTAATTCATATGGGGCGTTCCGAGCCCCCTGATGAAAGACCGCGGTTTTCCCCAAAAAATTCAGATGAATATTAAAGTTTTTCGTGCAAAGTTTTAAGAAGCTGGCTCTATTAGTTTCCCAGATAAACGAATTTTTGTATATTTAATTCATATGGGAGGAGGAATGTCCCCCCATTGGTAGTCCACCAATGTATTACCCAAAATGTTTACATGGATGCTAAAGTTCTTCATGCAAAATTTTAAGATTCTAACTCTAATAGTTTCCCAGATAAGCGAATTTTTGTATTTAATTCATATGGAAAGTGTCACGCCCCCTACTGCTAGTCCGCCCCCTTTTTCCTTAAATAATCATATTGACACTATAGAGGTTCCGAAAAATGTGAGGGACTCTATCTGTTATATTTTCTTAGGGGTTGCCTAGGCATGTATACCCCCTCATTAATTAACAACGCTTAGCCTCACAGTCATCCATTGTGGGGTATCTGTTCTCATCAGTACCAAACATAACCCGAAAACTAGTTCACCGTATATCAGTTTTTTAACTAACATTCTTCTTCCCGCGATTTTGGTTCAAATCACAGGAACCTTTCCAATTACCAGAACAATACAAAGACTCTGCTCTGCGGGCTACCAGTTCCCGTGGTACCAGATTATATGGCTCTCTGGTTCGGCCACAGGTCAAATCATTCCAAGGAAAGGCCGAAGATACATTTGACACCACCAGTTTATAGTCCCGGATGACTAGAGATACTGGTAGCACATCTTTTCCCTCGAATTACAATAACATTAAGATGGGGGAAGTTCATTAAAATAACTTACATGGCCCGGAGGGAAAACTATTGGAATTTTCGTAAAGTATTGGCTATGATCTTTACTAATCTTTCTGGCTACTTATGGATTCTGCGCCAAAAGAACTGCTCGTATTTTGAGGCTTTGGTGGAGATTCGGCAGTTTTACCGGACCTCACATACATAAATATGTTTCACGTTAACGTAATTATTCCATTTTTCTTCACCTTTAAGCAGCATTGGCTTGCAATGCGTATGGTACCCATTTTCCTTGCTCACAACGTGCTGCAAAACTTCTCGGATATGACACAAAATTCGACTACAAAAAAATCTAAAGTCGCAGTAATGAGCTTGTTCTATGATCTTCCTGCCAAAAACCGATCGATCGGCGATCTCTTAACTTTAAAATTCTCAATAACTTTTTAAAAAAGTTTTAAATTGAGTTAAGAAGCTGCGATCACTCAAATATGGATTCAAATCTTAAAATCCAATTAATTGAGAAGATAAGATCAATGTATCCTACTTTAAGAAAATATTGTTTTTTTAATCAAAAGAAGTTGGATCCATTATCATTGATATTTGGGAATTTCTTAAGAAATAGTGAAATTATTTTTGATAGGAAATAATTTCTACAGGAAATCCGTAAATATGTATAATATTTCTAAAAAATTCCCAATCAGTGTTTCATGACCGATCATCAAATATATTTTTCCAAAATTTTGTTATTACAAAATCTTTTTTTTTTAATTTTTACAAAAAAGTTATTACACATTCTATATACATCTTTAATATATTTATTGTACATCTTATTTATTTACAACATAAATATTTGATTTATTTTTAAACTCATCATAATTATATTTATAAATTATAAACATGTAGTTGATGTAAACATGTTACAAACAATTAAAAACATTTCATGTTGTTTACATTCCAATATTTAAATCATAAACTAAATCTAAAGAATATTAAAAACAATAACAACAAAAAACAAACAACATAAAAACACATATTATCTATAGAAAAACATGACAATTATGAATGAATATGAATAATGTATGAGTAGATGATGAACAAATACATATGCATTTGAAATAAGAATTACAATGAGAATGAACTTGTACTACAAGGGCTGTAGCTAGAATTTAAAATAAAATATTTATTTAAATTTTATAGAATAAAGAGTTTAAACTATAAATTTAAAATTTTGTAACAGGGTTTGTAACTTTTTCTTTTGGAATTTTCAATTTTATGCTTTAAATATTTCTTTCCGAATGTGTTTTTATCTTGTTCCCATGCTTGTAAATTGTTTCAGACATCGTTGCTAATCGATCAAAACAATTCGTTTTGTATTCCCCACAAGTCTTTTGTTGAATTACTGAATTAATGAATTACTTGTTATACAATTGAAATGATTAAACAGAAAATGATTGTGAATAAATAAGAAAATAAAAAATGACATTATTTTAATTGACTTAATTTCCATTTAAACACAAATTAATCGCTAGTAAATGCCAAAGTAAAGATTTAATTAAGAAATTAAAATTGAATTTAATAAAGAATTTTAAAAAATAAATCTTGTAAACTTATAATAAATATTTGATTTTTGGAATTTGATAATTTCAGGCTTTTTACTGTGGTACCACAATCACTGTCAGTTAAAAAATAAATCTTAAGACTAGTTCAGTTCTAGTTCTGTTCCAAACCAGTTTGAGTTCAGTTCTAGTTTAGTTCTAGTTCAGTTCTAGTTCAGTTCTAGTTCAGTTCTAGTTCAGTTCTAGTTCAGTTCTAGTTCAGTTCTAGTTCAGTTCTAGTTCAGTTCTAGTTCAGTTCTAGTTCAGTTCTAGTTCAGTTCTAGTTCAGTTCTAGTTCAGTTCTAGTTCAGTTCTAGTTCAGTTCTAGTTCAGTTCTAGTTCAGTTCTAGTTCAGTTCTAGTTCAGTTCTAGTTCAGTTCTAGTTCAGTTCTAGTTCAGTTCTAGTTCAGTTCTAGTTCAGTTCTAGTTCAGTTCTAGTTCAGTTCTAGTTCAGTTCTAGTTCAGTTCTAGTTCAGTTCTAGTTCAGTTCTAGTTCAGTTCTAGTTCAATTCTAGTTCAGTTCTAGTTCAGTTCTAGTTCAGTTCTAGTTCAGTTCTAGTTCAGTTCTAGTTCAGTTCTAGTTCAGTTCTAGTTCAGTTCTAGTTCAGTTCCAGTTCAGTTCCAGTTCAGTTCCAGTTCAGTTCTAGTTTAGTTCAGTTCTAGTTCAGTTCTAGTTCAGTTCTAGTTCAGTTCTAGTTCAGTTCTAGTTCAGTTCTAGTTCAGTTCTAGTTCAGTTCTATTTCAGTTCTAGTTCAGTTCTAGTTCAGTTCTAGTTCAGTTCAAGTTCAGTTCTAGTTCAGTTCTAGTTCAGTTCTAGTTCAGTTCTAGTTCAGTTCTAGTTCAGTTCTAGTTCAGTTCTAGTTCAGTTCTAGTTCAGTTCTAGTTCAGTTCTAGTTCAGTTCTAGTTCAGTTCTAGTTCAGTTCTAGTTCAGTTCTAGTTCAGTTCTAGTTCAGTTCTAGTTCAGTTCTAGTTCAGTTCTAGTTCAGTTCTAGTTCAGTTCTAGTTCAGTTCTAGTTCAGTTCTTGTTCAGGTCTAGTTCAGTTCTAGTTCAGTTCTAGTTCAGTTCTAGTTCAGTTCTAGTTCAGTTCTAGTTCAGTTCTAGTTCAGTTCTAGTTCAGTTCTAGTTCAGTTCTAGTTCAGTTCTAGTTCAGTTCTAGTTCAGTTCTAGTTCAGTTCTAGTTCAGTTCTAGTTCAGTTCTAGTTCAGTTCTAGTTCAGTTCTAGTTCAGTTCTAGTTCAGTTCTAGTTCAGTTCTAGTTCAGTTCTAGTTCAGTTCTAGTTCAGTTCTAGTTCAGTTCTAGTTCAGTTCTAGTTCAGTTCTAGTTCAGTTCTAGTTCAGTTCTAGTTCAGTTCTAGTTTAGTTCTAGTTCAGTTCTAGTTCAGTTCTAGTTCAGTTCTAGTTCAGTTCTAGTTCAGTTCTAGTTCAATTCTAGTTCAATTCTAGTTCAGTTCTAGTTCAATTCTAGTTCAATTCTAGTTCAGTTCTAGTTCAGTTATAGTTCAGTTCTAGTTAAGTTCTAGTTCAGTTCTAGTTAAGTTCTAGTTCAGTTCTAGTTCAGTTCTAGTTCAGTTCTAGTTCAGTTCTAGTTCAGTTCTAGTTCAGTTCTAGTTCAGTTCTAGTTCAGTTCTAGTTCAATTCTAGTTCAGTTCTAGTTCAGTTCTAGTTCTATTCTAACATTGTTCTAATTCTATTCTAACATTGTTCTAATTCTATTCTAACATTGTTCTAGTTCTATTCTAATTCAGTTCTAGTTCTGTTCCAGTTCATAGGACAAGATTCTAGTCAGGAAAATTCTTAAGAACTATGGCCACGAAACTGAGCGTTTGAATATCGGACTATTTCCGAACCAACATTTTCGAAGAAAATATTGTACAGAATGCTATCTTTATGTATTAATATCAAAGCAAAGCGGCAGATATTGCCAGAATAGTGAAATAATCGTTTTGTCCTCTTCCTAATTCTGACAACTTCAGCAGATATATAAGTCCGTTGAATATTCATAAACATTTTAAGAAATATATTAAACTAGATACTCTTCGATTTCCTGAAAGTCCAATATTACAAATTTTTACATTACATAATAAAAACTTTAAAATATATTCATAATTAACGATATAATTTAAGGTCGTTTAAATTATTTATGTTAATCTCCATTTTTTAAAAATCTATAAAATATTTATGAGCTTACAATTGTTGTTGAAATATAACTTAATATTTCGTAACTTAATAAAATAATTAAAATAAACAATAAATTATAATTTAACTTACCCACAGACATGTTGTATATTCAAAATTTGTGTAAAATGTAAATTTTTCAAAATAAGCAAAATTTTGTTCTTCCAAAATAGTTTTTTCCTCGATTTTGGACTTGTAAAATTTGAATATTGAATGTAAACAAATTGCTACGTTGTTGTACTCGTAATTCAAAACACTTCCTTAAATGGCCAACAACCTTTAGAAGACGATCGATTGCGATTACAATGTGATGATAATGATGATGTTGAACTTTTACACAAGAAAAACAAATTTTAATTTTATTTCACACATACAAGACCATAATAATCATAAAGTTTTTAGTTTTTTTTTCTTTATTTTTTAATTCGTAGTTTATTTTTATTATTTTTGGCAGTGTTGTGCACTTGTTGTATTGAAAAAAATACGACACAAGAAATTTTGAATTTAAATCTCTTGGTGTGTTGTAAATACTTGGGAGCGTATGTGTGTGTATTATTGCTTCTTCCCCAAAAACAGTATTTGTATATCCGGCGGAAACGTAATGTTTTGGTTTTAATATTAAATATTTTTTTCAGTTACGTGTGTGTTTTTGTTATTATTTTTATTTTTCGTACTCACACACCAAAAATATGTATATTCAGCCAAAAGTTGTTTTTGTTTAATATAGAAGAAGTAGTCGTCGTTGAAATTATTATTTTTGTTTTTCTTTTGTTTTGTTAAATTTTAAAAGAAAGAAAAATAAAATAAAAACAAATCCATGAAGAACAATGACCTGCAAAAATAAAAACAAAACAAAAAACTTTAGTACAAAAACAGAAAATACAAATTTAAATAAAAATATAAATAAATATACATTAAGCTCTTCTTTTTTGTTGACTTCAAGCCTACAATAATTAAATATTCTAAACTACCTGTTGATGAACGACAGGTAACAACAATTATTAAAATGACATAAAATATTATAAAATTAAACAAATTTAAAGTAGCGAGTGCCATTAAAAGAAAAAAAAATCAAATGAAAACAGCTCAACATAAAAGTGTTTGAAAAAACCATAAGGAAGGCACAACAAATGGGTGGAGTAGGTTGGTTACTTGCTTGATTGCATTATAGGAGTATCAACTGAGTTATTGTATTTTTTGTTGTGGCCAGTTGTTGCCAAAGTGGACAACCCAACATCAACATACCACAATCATACTACAAATCAATAACATTTCATTTCATTGCGTTTGATTTCATTTTACAACCAACTCCATTATCTATCCATCCATCAAGGGTAAAATTGTTAGATTGATAATTTGATTTGATGAAGTTCTTGTTATTGTTGGTAATTTTTTCAGAGTTGTACAACAATAAAATGTTATCTTTGGGAGATTTATGTCCTTATGTAAGAATGTTATATTCGGCTATGCCGAATCTTATATGCCCATCATCAAAACTTTTGTTAAAACGATTTACTCGTTAATATATTGAATTTCATATTGTCATATGAAACGCAAACGGCCCTAACTAACCAAAAATTCAAAATCGATTTTATTGTTGATTATAATTACAATTACAGGGCAGTTTGCGTTTTAGGTCACGATATGCACATTAGGGTAATTTTTCGGTTTACGTCCTTTGACGGGGGTTTGGATTATGATCAGAAGCCTAATTGTATTATGATAATAAGTATTTTCACTTCTTGTAAAATTTCATCGCTATAAATGATTTTTAAAGTAAGTTTAGAGCGATTCCTTTGAAATTGCCAGAGAGATTTGAGTTCACACAAAACATGTTTAGGATGTTTAGGAATTTTGTTGCTATGCTGGTATTTTCAAGGGACCCTATATGGAATTAAGTAGCGATTTAAATCGTATACCAGGGGCTTTGTGAAAACATCGACCGATATTGCCCATCTTCAATACCGAACATTCTGCTCAATGTAGAATATTTTTGTAAAACTTAAGTTGAAAATGTCTTAAGTGCTCGTTTAGTATCTATCTATCTATCTATCTATCTATCTATCTATCTATCTATCTATCTATCTATCTATCTATCTATCTATCTATCTATCTATCTATCTATCTATCTATCTATCTATCTATCTATCTATCTATCTATCTATCTATCTATCTATCTATCTATCTATCTATCTATCTATCTATCTTATCTATCTATCTATCTATCTATCTATCTATCTATCTATCTATCTATCTATCTATCTATCTATCTATCTATCTATCTATCTATCTATCTATCTATCTATCTATCTATCTATCTATCTATCTATCTATCTATCTATCTATCTATCTATCTATCTATCTATCTATCTATCGATCTATCTATCTATCTATCTATCTATCTATCTATCTATCTATCTATCTATCTATCTATCTATCTATCTATCTATCTATCTATCTATCTATCTATCTATCTATCTATCTATCTATCTATCTATCTATCTATCTATCTATCTATCTATCTATCTATCTATCTATCTATCTATCTATCTATATATCTATCTATCTATCTATCTATCTATCTATCTATCTATCTATCTATCTATCTATCTATCTATCTATCTATCTATCTATCTATCTATCTATCTATCTATCTATCTATCTATCTATCTATCTATCTATCTATCTATCTATCTATCTATCTATCTATCTATCTATCTATCTATCTATCTATCTATCTATCTATCTATCTATCTATCTATCTATCTATCGATCTATCTATCTATCTATCTATCTATCTATCTATCTATCTATCTATCTATCTATCTATCTATCTATCTACCTATCTATCTATTCCCACAAGGTTGTTCTCCCCGATTACCAGCCAATTGTATTGTTGTAAACATAAAATGCATATTAAAATTTTTCCAATAACGGAAGCAAATAATTTTCCAATACATAAAATAATTGTTCTGCACCACGACTACAAGCGAAATAATAATGAAAAATATAAACTGAAAAAACGGGTGGACTGGCAGGCGGCGGACAGACAGAGAAACAAATGGACTTAAACAGACATTGGAGTAAATAAACTCATTGTATATGTATGTATGATTTCCCAATAGATGATGATTATTATATTTTTATAAAGTTGCTTTGTTTTGATTATGATTTGGTAAGTTTAAGTTTTTTTTTTTTTGAAATTTCATTTCTAAGTTTATGTGTGAATAAGCAACGGTCAGTTAAAGTTGGAGACTACAACGGATGGCTTGGCTGGGTTGGTTGAATTCTTAGTAGAGGTCACTAGGTGGTGGGTGTTTAAATATAAATTGAGAAGTATTTACGTACATATATGGCGGGAGTTGGGGTTTTTACGATTATTACTCTGTATGTATGGTTTGATGTTGCAACAATTGTTGTATTTGTAAAGTTAGTAATTGTTGCTGCTGTCAAAACGGATATGGCATACAGGTGCTTAAAGACGGAAATAGTCACACTGTTTAAACTAATATTTGTTGACAGTTGTGGTTGTTGTTGTTGTTGTTGGATTTGAGGTGCGTGTCACTAATATAGCTGTAAATGCTTATTCTTCTGTCTATTTTTAATGTAGTATTTTTAATTTTAATATTTAATATTATTTTTTTATGTTATTTTTATTATGAAAAAAATTCTCTGCCGCGCATAGAAATAGTTTTAATTAGTTTTTAGTTAATAGAATGAGACCTGTATTAAAACTGTTTATGGTTTATTATTTCCTGTCATTATGGACATTGTGCCAGTGGGAAAATCCCAGTTTTAAATTTTCTTTAATTTTTTTTCCTCATTTCATGTGCATTGCATAATTTTATGTGCAGACCCATCAATAGTTTCCCTTCCTTTTTAAGTTAAATAAAAAGAGAAAAACAAATTTAATTTAAAAGAGGTTTCAGTGACAGGTTTTTTATTTTTTTATAAAAAAAAAAAAACTTTTTTTATTCAATTGTTAAACCTTTTATGTAGTTAATATGTTTTACTTGCGGTTTAAACTCTATTTCTAATTAATATTTAAAAAGCGTTTTAGTGTTTTTTTTTTTTCTTTTGCAAAAAAGCCACAAATTTATGTTTATTAACTGTTATAATTATTTGTTTACAACTTGTTATTTTCTATTTAACAAAACCACAATGCCTTATAAGACCTTTGCAATATTTATGGGGGTTAATTTTCTTTGGTTTTAACAATCAATCGAAACATATTAAGAACTTGAACAAATGTTTTGCTGCAAATTTGGTATTGTTTCAACCTAAATTTTTGACAATATGTGTTTGTTGTGACTTTTAAGGAAAACTGTACCGATTTATTGAGTTTACTTTAACGGTTTTGCAAAATGTCAAAGACTTTTAATGGGATATTGGCTGAACAAAGTCTAGTGAAATTTCAGATTGTTGTGTTTAAAATGAACAATTTTCTTCCAAATTCGAAAAAGTGTAATGTTTAGCATATCAATCAATTTCTGATAAAAATTTAAATAAAAAATTCTAGAAATCAATCAAATTCCATTACATTAAATAAAAAAACTTATTTTATAAAACAAAACAATGTTTCAATTACTTCAGTCAATCTAAATTCTTAATTTCCATTAAAAAAAAACTATATTTTCTAAGAATTTCAAAAGCAGTTTTTTAAAAACACTTCAAAGAGATTTTTTTATTAAAAATAAACTTACTTAAAACAATTAATTGTTTATTTCAGAATATAGGGCAATAAAAAATAAACAATCTGAACATAATAAATTATAAATTATTTATTGTTTAATATAAAAAATGTTTATACGAATATAGCACATATTAATCGTCACGACATTGAGCAGTTATGGTTAAATTTTGTAGTAAATAAATAAAAAAAACGCTTTAGAAATTTCAACAAAATAACAAACTCTTGAAATGGTTGATTTACAGGGATTTCATGCATTACGTTGACAACAAAATACAATTTTATAATTAATCATTTAAAGGCTACAAATATCATGATGATTAAGTTTGTTTTTGTTTTAACAAAATATAAATAATGATTTCTTTCTTTTAAATTTCCAATTTAATAATTTTTTTATGTATAAGACTCAAATGCTCAAAATTGGAGTAAATTCAAAATAATTTAAATATAATTTTTTTAAATGACATAAAGACAAAAAGACGTTTGTTTGGTTGATGGTGTGGGTACGTCTGACACGATGGTTATTTTGTTGATGTGGTGACATTCAAAACGTTATAAACGTCGTAAGTCTTTTTAGTTGAATTATTTTATGTTTTCATTTATTTAAGATTTATTTATCCAAAAGCATTGAGTTTTTGTATTTTCTGTCTTTTTTACACTTAGAGATAAAGAAACACTCAATATTACAGAAAAGCTGGAAACAGTGGGTGGAAAAAGTGAATTTCCGTATATAATTTCAGGGCCTTTTTATTTCATGCCTTAGAGTAGTCAATAAGCCTACTGACTGCTTGTCCATGTACTAGTCAAAAGAGTAGTCTATAGATTAGTTAACACACTAGTTCATATACTAGTCAATAGGCAATAGACTTGTCAATAAACTAGTCTATAGTCAATATGCTAGTACATATGCTTGTCCGTAGACTAGTGAAAAGAGTAGTTTATAAATTAGTCAATACTCTTGTTCATATACTAGTCAATAGCTGGTCAATAGACTAGTCAATAGGCTCTTCAGTAGTCTTGCTCATAGACTAAAGAAAAGAGCGTTCTATAGCTTAGTGAATGCACTAGCCTATAGTCAATAGGCAATTCAATAGAATAGTCTATAGAGTAGTCCATATAATAGACAATACTCTAGTCCGTAG